AAAGATGGGAAAGAACATTTTGTTAATATTACGGTTACTTGGGTTTTAGAAAAGAAAAAAAAGGTGGATGGGGGGGATCAGTCAGCCTACACATCTTGATAATAGTGTAAAAATTGTTTTTTTAAAACCCTCTGAGTCCAAATATCAAACAGTGTAATTTTATAGCACAAGCACAGGTATGTATAGATCTAGATGTGGCAAGAACTGTGCGCATTTCATGCTTCCATGTTGTACCCACTGACCTAGAAGCAAGCCTCGTTGAAATAAATCATATTTTGTTCCAATTTTATAGGACTTTTCTACAAAGAATGTACTTGGACACTCCAGATGCTACACCACATAAAGAGCTGAATTCCATAGGGCACTTATAGTGTGCAAACTGAGCAGATTGGCAGATGTTTATATGGCATTGCCTATTTTTCTGTAATGACAACAACAACAACCTGGTATTTATATAGCACTTTTGAGTCTCCAGAGCTCCTCACGTTATCTGTCTGTCTGTCTACATCAAGGTGGGCCAATGTTATTATCCTTACATTGACACCGATCTGCAAGCTCCTACTCCTCCCAACTGCTGCAGGGCAGAACCTGAATTATGGGTTGCAGGGACACCACAAAATGGTGTGGCATATTTATCAGCAGGAAGGGTGGGGAATATATTCTTTTTTTACTTGAGTAATTAAATTTCACAATACTTGGTACAGATATGACAGCCAATAACGTAAACTCTCGCCACCGAGACAGAATGAGCAATGTAAAATAGAGCAGGCATAGGTCATGTTGTTATCAAACCAGTGGCCAGATGGGGGATATTGATGGAAACCAGACACCCTTTTGGGCCTTGTAAGAGGAGTCTTGCTGGGTCAGACCAATGTCCCATACTCAAAGTGGCCAAACAAGATGCCTCTAGGAAATGCACAAGCAGGACCTGATCCCAACATCACTCTCCTTGCCTGTGATTCCCAGCAACTGGTATTCAGAAACATACTGCCTCCCAACAGTGGAGGTAGAAGGCCACTGTGACTCCTCCAAGAAGTTGTCCAATCTTCTGTTAAAGCCATCCAAGCTGGTGGCTATAACTGCACATTGTGTGTTGTGGACTGAATTCCACTATGCACTGTGTAAAGAAGTATTCTCTTTCATCTGTCCTGAATCTTCAAACATTTGGCTGCATTGGATGGCCTCAGGCTCTAGTATTATTAAAGAAAGATAAAAAATGTCTGTCTATCCTGCTTGTGGGCTTCCCATTGGCACATCTAGTTGTCCACTGTAAGAACAGGATCCTGGACCAGATGGGCCATTGGCCTGATCCAGCAGATTTTTCCGATGTTCTTAATTCACAACCAATAAGCAAATTTTCACTTCTCCAAATCTTGAGACACAGTCCTCCAACCAAAATAAAAAATGTGTAATTTGGGGAAAATGTGCCCAAAATTGGTCATATTTATTAGTGAAATTAATGTCTTAAAAAATCCATTTTCTAAAATTGTTTACAAAAATGTATATAGCAATTCTGGGGTACATTCCAATGCTAGTCCTAGTCAGAGTAGATCCCTTGGGATTAAGGAACCTAAATTATCCAGGTTCACTAATTGAAATGGGGCTACTCAGAGTAGGACTATCTTTGAAAACAACTGTGTGTGCGCGCACGCGCACGTGCGCAATTAAAAATGTTGCAAATGGTGGAAATAGGGGAAGCTGAATGGAAGACTGGAAAAATGAGGAAGCGATGCTGAATAATTCATCCATTCCCACTTGATATGATGCACACAGTGTTGTTCTTGCTTTTGTGAAGTTCTAATATAGTCGTGGCACAGAAGGAAGACTAAAAGAAAGAAAATGAAATGGAAAACACTGAGACCAAGCTGAACAAAAGCAGAACTAAGAAAATCATGGTCTTGACCCCAAAGAAGAGTCCACCACTCCAACCAAAGCAGAGAAATTCTTAAGGCCAAAGCTATAGCTGTCTCTTCCCATCAGTAAAGTCAGGCTTCATAAATGAGCTCCTTGTGAAGGGAGATTATCACAGAGGGGAAAAGCAGAGATGACTTTTTGTATATTTCAAATTCCTTTCTTTCCATCTTGACAGGATCGAGGGAAGAATCCCCGAGAAAGTCGCAGACCTCTTCAACAGGTGAACAGCTGCCAAGGCGATTTCAAAACTCTAGATCATGATCCATCTTGTAGCTCATGTTAGCTCAGTAAAGATTATTCTCAGGAGATGTCGTATGGAGAGAAACAGATGCCAGTGGAGGACCCAAAAATGTTTCTTTCATGGTGGAGAGTCTACAGCAGAGACAGGAAGACAATGGTCCTCCAGATGTTCCTCCCAACATCTCTAAGCATTGGACAAAGGTCTTCTCTCCAGTCACCATATACCTAATTTCAGATGGTGGGGTAGACATTCAGGTGGGCCTCATGTGACTAAAGGAGACCCGAATTATATCCCATCCAACCCACAAGTAACTCAGCCAAATATGGCAAGTTGGTCAAGGATTCCCAGTTTGCTTCACAGAGACATGTGGATTTGAACCTAGCATCCCAACATCCAAACACCCTTGGCAAGACATCACAAAACGCTTGGTAGATTGCTTGTGCAATAACTGGACAGGTGTATCATTTCTTCAGAGAAGCTGATATGGAACTATGGAACTCTTCATAACAAAGTCTATAGCTGGACAAACAGGGACTACCATAAGCCATTTGGAAACTAAGTGCATTTCTGTACAAATCTTTTAGCATTCTTGGGCAGCAGCTTAGCTTTGTTGTAGCTCTGTTATAATATTCAGCAAAACGTGGTTTATCTTGTCAAAGAATGCAGTAATGAAAGAATTGTGAATGTATCTTGTTTATCAGTGTGTCTCTGTATATTGGTTATCACGAGATGCATTTTTTCTTGAAGGAACTGCAATGTCTGGTAGTTATTTTGATGAAAATACAAGGGCTCAAAGGCAGCCAACATCTATCTCCTTTGTGCTGATTGCGAATGCTTCTTATAATATTTTTTATAGTCAGTGGTTAGGATATGGATGATGTGGAGCTAATGCTTCTGATGAAACACACTGGAAATAAACTCCACTGTTATTAATGCCCAACAAACTTCAACTGTCGGTTTGGGTAAATTATCTCCCAGGAGAATGATGCTGAACCAACATTTATAAGTCATTGCCATGTATAAACAAGGTGTTTTGATCAAGTGCTGAGGCACAGTTGTTCATATGAGGATCATTTGGAGTACATTCTATCAGGAAGTCTAGCTTTTAAATTTTTTAAAAAATACTTTAAAAAAAGAAATATCTTTGATATAAGAAGGAACACAGGCAGCTGAACAATGACAATTAAAACCTTGGTCTGTCTAGCTCAGCATTCCCTACACAGACTGGCAGCAGCTCTCCAGGGTTTTCAAACATAGGTTTTCCCCAGTCCTACATGGAAATGCCAAGGATTGAATCTGGGACCTTCTGCATGCAAAATATGCTCCACCGTTGAGCTATAACCCTTCCCCTATGGGGTGTGTTTATGTATGGAAATCTACAAAGTGGTGGTGGTATTGCTAGTCATAGATTAGGATAACTAATATAGAACTACCGGTTTAGGTGTGATATTTCATGAAGAATTATCAACCAATACAGTGGTACCTCTGGATGCAAACGGGATCCGTTCCGGAGCCCCATTCGCATCCTGAAGCGAACACAACCCGCATCTGCGCATGCACGGGTTGTGATTCCCTGCTTGTGCGCATGCACGTGACATCATTTTGAGCGTCTGCGCATGCGCGAGCAGCGAAACCCGGAAGTAACGTGTTCCGTTACTTCTGGGTCTCTGTGGAGTGCAACCTGAAAATGCTCAACCTGAAGCAACTTCAACCCAAGGTATGACTGTAATAAAAAATACAAGGCAATCCTATGCATATCTACTCAGAATTAAGTACCATTGATTAGGTATAGGATGCAGCCTTAAGTTCGTATTCAGTGCTAGTCCTATTCAGAGGAGAGTCACTGAAGCTAATGGACATGACTGCATGCCCAGGCACATTATATGGTGCCAAACATAGGAATAAGACAAGGACATTTGCAATGGGTTGAAACATTTATTGATTTCTGGTATAAGTAGCTTTTAGCCAGGGCATTGGGTATGTATACAGTATCAAACAGCCCAATTGCTGGTATATAAATAGGGTGGGGTCAGCCCTGAGCTTAGAGGTCACCCACTGACATGTATCAGGTCATACAATCCCACCTGGGCTGCCATTGGGAAGGCTGCTGTGGCCCATTGGTCCCGGACAGAGACACCCTTTCCTGGACCCCTTTTATGGGGTACCTGATCAGCTAAGGATTCAACCCAGCACCTGTGACTTTTTGCTATGAGGTAGGCGAAAACCTGTAGAAGGGCCAATTTGTCTGCAGGAAAAAATCCTCCCTGGCCCTGAATACAGTGAGAAAATATACCAAGCAAGGTCCTCACACTGACCTCCAGCTTTGGGAAGGCCTGGGTGGGTGGGTGGTGAATCCCACAATTGTCTTCAAAGAAGAGGGACCCCCAGGTGTGGTCTTATACAATGGAGGCAGACCAGGCTGAAGCTGGGTCATGGCAGCAACTCTACCTACTTGATGACCCCTGATTGGCCCATTTAAACAAGCTTTGCCAAGTCAGTGTGGTCAGAGGAGAAGGCGCTGGTTAGAGTGTTGGACTAGGATCTGAGAGCACAGGGCTCAATCCCCTCTCAGCCATGAAGCTCACTGGGTGACCTTGAGTCAGTCACTGCCGCTCAGCCTAACCTACCTCACAGGGTTGTTGTGGGGACTGAGGAGTGGGGAGACCAATACACTACCTTGGACGCCTTCAAGAAAAGGGTGGGATAGAAATGCCACAAATAATAAGAAGAAACTCCACCTTTCTTTCTTTCTTTCTTTCTTTCTTTCTTTCTATCTTTTTTATTAAAAGACTACTAGATTAGAGTGCATATATTTTACCATGTTCCTACCGATCCTGAATAAAGCCCAGTTGACTGCCATGCAGCAAAATGACATGTTCACATCATTACTGTTGCTTACTATTATAAATATAATATTTGTATTAATAGTAATGATGTGAACATGTCATCTTGCTGGGTTGCAGTCAACTGGGCTTTACTCAGAGTATACCGCTTGAAATGAATAAGCATGTGCAACCCAGGTCCATTCACTTCAATGGGCCTACTCTAAGTAAAGCTCAGTTGAATGCCACCCATTGGTATTTTAAAGGGATTGCTTGGAAATATTTCCCTTGCTTTAAAGCCATGCATTTTTGTTTTCCCTCTAGCGAAAGAGAAAGGTGGGGGGTGAGCTCTGATCCTGTCTCTGGCTTATGTTTAAATGAAAATAACAGGTCAGGGATAACACAAAGTAATTTAAAGGACTAACGCAGCGGTACGTGGGATTGCCCAGAGCTACACCTTGCAATCACCCAGTTCATATTTTAGGTCCTGCCACGAGAGTTCATAGTATTTTACAAGTCTATGTTCCATGTCAGTGGCTGACTGTAGAGTTGAATATCAGTCCTATTTAAATCTGCAAGAAAATAGCTGCAGGTGACATAACCTTTCATGTAGTACCACTGTGTACATATACAAATAATTGAGGCTCTTGACCCCGTCGACGCACATACAACTGTAAGTACAAACTTGACATTTTGATACTGCTCGTAGCCTTTCCCGTTCTTATTTTCTGTTTCAATAACCCATTGCAGGTAGAAAAATGAAAGAAGGAAGCATGAATGATTAATGCTGTCAAGCTAAAATAATGTATTTAGAAAAATCTATAAATCTCTTATTTGTGGCATTTTAAAACTCAACACGACAGTCTTTGGTGCCACTCAGGCTCTTTGGCGGCAGATAGATGTAAGCATATATATATATATATATATTTCTGCAGCCATAGGAGCTCAGACTCAGCCCTACGTCCCACTACTTCTCCGGCAGGGAAAATTAAAGCCTCAGCAGTGAACTTCCTCTTAGAAAAATTACTCATAAGCATCAGCTGAATATTCAAAGGCACTCATGAATATTTATTTTGTGATGTAAATGGGATTTATGTTGCTGTTAAGCCCACTCCTTCTTGCTTTAACCATGCCAAGGATCTCTCCAAACAAGAAATTGCTCTGAATAGCAAGTCAGAGTTGGGTGCGATTCCGACAACCCAACAAATTCAGGAGCAAAGAAGCCCACATTCTAGACCAGACATACTTTCTACAGATGGCACGGACACCTGGTATGTATCACCTTACCTTATATGTGCCCAATTAACAGTTTCAACTGGTGGAAATGGGATTGCCGCAGGTGCCAAACAAAACCAGTTCTGCATTGTAAGAACTCATTTTTTCGGTGTGGCAGGACCTACACTTTGGAACTGTCCATGACACACACATAGGTGCCCTCTGCTGGTGGCTGCCATTTTGGTTTCATATCCAAACCTGAAATTCATCCAGTGTTCCAAAAAAACTAAAACATCTTCATTTACTTGAGTGGCTGTAAATGTGAGACATTTTCACTCACCTCTACTTTTTGAGCCAGTGAGATAAGCCAAGCCAGATGGATTCCTATCAAAGTTCCCTGCCTTGATTGGATTTGCTCTTGATTTTGAGCAACTAGGTTCAGCCTGCCTTTGCTTTGTCTCTCCCACAACTTGATCTGATACCACAATGGTGTCATAGAGAAGGATGAAGAAAATCAGCCATGCAAAAGAAGTAACACTTCCATGCAACATGCCAGAACTCACCATGAACACTTCCCTTATTATCTGATAATGGCAATGGTGCCCACCTGAGAGGTGCCAGAATTGAGTTCTGCTGAGTTCTGGATGAAAAAAGTTGTACTTCCTAGTGAAAGAAATTAAATCATCTGTGCAGGATCAAAGCAACAACACAGAGAGCCATTGGATGATGATTCTGTGTGATGTATGCAAATGCTGGTGTGAACTGAACATATCCTGGATGAAAGTGCAGATCAGAGCCGAGTTGGTTTTTCTACTTCACAAATGTTCTTGAGAAGTTCTTGGCTCAAAGCAAGTATCAAAATCCTTTTTTTAAAAAATGTGCATTTTGAGAGAAAATACATTCTAACATGCATAGTTAAAACACATATTTTACTTTAATTTTCATGTTGATTTGTTTTTTTTATTATTATAAAAAATAGGTATTGGCAGGTTAATGTGGAAATGGGATGGAATGAACTTATTTTCGAAGACATGCAAAAGTGATATTGAGTCCCTGCACACAGATCCCTGAGAAATGCTATATTTTCCTCACTCAAAGGCTCCATCCAAATGCTGGGTTGTATCCAATGTAGCCCTACGTTAAAGTCACATAGTGATAGACTTGTACCCTTAGTGGAATGCTTTGCACCAGTGCAACTTTGTTGTACAAGAGAATGTTCCAGCAAGTTGCTAGTAACATGGCTGCACAATCAATCACACAAACTATTGCAGAACAACTGTTGGCTAGCACAAGTGTCGCATTGGATTCCACTGTTGTGCAACATTAAAGATCACCTTAGGGGTCCTTGTGCTAGCGGGCAGAGAATGTTGAATACAAACAATTACATGTACCTGTACCATAATTCATTTGTTCTGAGCCTGCTCAACAAGCATTGTGCTCCATTTGGCAACTCCCACCCCCACCCCCCATGAAAAGTGTTTTGCTTGGTGCTCAGCCACCTGTCTCAGTTCAGAAATTCTCATCCTGGAGTTTTCCCCCTTTCCATCTGATTTTGTGTGTGTCCTTTTTGATGAGCATGCATGAATTTGCACTATCTATCAGCACTGCATCTATTTTAAAAGTTCAGTGCCTATGAGACATGTGCATTTTATTAGCTAAGTGCTTGGGTTTGAATTACACAGGCAGAATAAGGATCCTTGTTCCAGTTGTTCAGAGGCTTCCACTACCGACTCAGGCAGGCAATCAGTGCATGCATTAGTAGTTAAACAAAATATTCTCTTTAAAAACACTAAGGGGCCTTTCATGCTAACATGATGCTTCCTCGCCACTTCAGCATGTGCACACAACAAAGCCATATCTATCCAGCTCAAACCATCTCCAAGACGTTACATTTGTTAGGAGCTCTAGAAAGCTGTTTGAAATTAAAGTTAATTAAATGAAGGCACTATTAGCCCAATTGTTTCACTTGATGAATCCGAAAAACCCAAACTGTGCAGCTCAAGTTACAGCAGATAAGAGAATTAGCAATGCATACAAATGATAACAGTTGTCTGAAAGACTTTTAAAAACAACAACAACCCACCAGATCTATAGCTTGTAACACATTGCACCTGAAGTTATAGCAGCCTGAAGCCTGCTAGATAACAATTGTTACACATCAGCACCACATTAGAGGTGTGACTTAACAGTTGGCGATATAAAGTTGGCTTATCTGTTACTTTACATCTCAAGTGCTAGATCACTAGTTCCCTCATTATTCTCCATATTTCCAATGTCATTAATCCTTAGACATGGACATATTCACTATAATTTTGATTTGTGCTTCATGACCATACATGAAGGCAGTATAAGCCTTCCCATATGAAGACCCGATATTTCATTTCCTGACCTCCACGTTGGCAGCTCGTAGCACAGAATAACAGAATTGTAGAGTTGGAAGTGACCCAAAGGGATCACAGCTAAAGTATCCCTCACAGATGGCCATCCAACCTCTGCCTAAAAACCGCCATTGAAGGAGATACCACCATCTTTCGAGGTAGCCTTTTGCATTGTCAAACAGCTCTTACCATCATTAAAGTTTTCCCAGTGTTTAATCTCATTTCTTGAAATCTGAAAAGGTTTTGGTCCTACTCTCATCCCTGGACATCCATTACTCAATATCTGGGAGGCATCATAGCTTGTGCAGAAGGTCCTTGGTTCAACCCTTGGTCTTCCCAGTGAAAAGAATCTTGGGGATTTGAGGTGGGAAAGAACCCTGCCTGACATGGTAGAAAACTACTGCTGGCCAAATTGGCCAGTGATTGACTAGATGGACCTGACTCTACATAAAGGCAGTGTTATTCTACATGATCAGCTGTGTCTATGGAACAGCCATCACGGGCCGCTCAACACATAAGCTCAGGCTCAGTATCCCTGAATGGATAATGTTCATACATCTATTTCTAAGTCATCAAGTAATAAACAGTGGTAAAAACATCAAGGGAAGCATGTGTTATTTGGCTAATTTATCACTGCTTCAAATCAGTGTCAAATGCAGAGCTAGGGAGCCTGTGGTCCTCCAGTTGTTGTTGGATTTCAGCTCCCATCATCAATGAACCAGAATACCCAACGGTCAGGGATGACAGGTATTGTAGTCGAACAATATCTATCTGGAGGGCCATAGGATCCCTATGCCTGGTTCAAAGAGAGTTGTTTATTCACCATTTCAGGCACTTGTCCTGGAAGTCTCACCTCCCGATCTAATATGTATAGAAAACACTTGTGGATGGTTATTCTGTGGTGTAGGAAAGATGTTCTGTACATCATGAATGGGGAACCTGTGGCCCACAAGTTGTGGCTGGAGTGGAACTCTTGCCATTACTTCCAACTGGACATGCCGGTTGGTACTTGTTGGGAGCCACGTTGGGCGCCAACGCCTCAGACCAATAGTACTGATGGCAGCTAGAGTCCAACCAGGACAACAAGATCTGCATCCCTGCTGTACATGATAGACATACTCCTTCTTTTATTTGCATAATAGCTGGTCTCTTGCTGGATATGAGACCTAGTTTAAGCCCTGGCACGGAGCAGATTCTGCAGATTTTTAAATGCCTTCCACAACAGCATCTTTTTTTTTTTGCGCTCTCTAGTATCCTTCTGTTCTCTTTTCTGATTTGGGCCTATTTCTAACATGACATTTTGAATGCAAGGAATGGGATTTGGAATATTGCCACAGAGTCATAAATATAAAATCTTTTTGTTGGAATGCATCACCCATGCGACTTGTTCACGGATGATTCCGTGAGCTGGATTTGCTAGCTCCAGCGACTAGTAGTGTTCTGAACAAGTGTTGATGAAAGAATCCAACAGAATATCTCACTTTTAATTCTTTTTAAAGCCATTCCCTGTGGATTTCTTTGCTCCACCCAGCTGATCACAATTGGCACGAATAATT